TAAGATATACATATACAAATATATACACACACGTACTGTCTTAAAAAAGAATATTTTAAGTTGTACCTTGATTTAAAATAAATCTGTACAAAAAGTTTACCAAGTATAATAAAAAGTACAGTGGTCTTTAGAGCCCTAATATTATCACGTTCCAAAGATCTAGGTCTCACAAAATGGTCTTTATTTTACTTCAAATTGACTTACACAGGAACCTAAGATTTGGGGCTAAGAGGTCGTGGCAGTATTGGAGCCCAATCACTAATTTTACAAGTGACTACAATATATAAACCATTTAATAAACTAATGGTACGCGCTATCTAAAAGTTTCCTAACCAATCCCCACTGGAAGGCTGTTCCAGAACTTTATTTCTCTGATAGTTAGAAAAGTTGCCATTTCTAATGTCCATAGCCAGTGCCAAATAGGTTGCCCTGACTGCTTTTTAAACTGAAAAAATCTACCTAAAACAGAACAGAGATACTAAATAGAAAATAACTTACAAACTTTTTTATTGGTAGTATTTCAACTGTAAAAACAAGAAGAGTTATATTTTACCATATTCTAACATGCAAAAAGCAAATCTACATGAACTATGAATAGGTGCTATTCCCAGTTTCCATATTTTCTTTATTTTGCTGTGAAATACCTTCTCAAATGAAAAGAAAACCAGATTTAAATGTCTATGAATATGAATGTAATGATTTACATCTGTGAATAGTTTGTTGATTACTTTTCCATGTCTATACTCTAAACTGCCTGTAGATGCAGATATAGGGGCAGAAGCCTGGATTGTCCTAGTTACTTTTGGCTACCAATATGCAATTGGTAATGAAAACATAGGGTCCTCCCAGAAGAACAGCAGTTAAGGAAACTGTGTGAATTCCCTAGCAACCATGGAACAGACTTTTGAAAGTGTGTTTGACTCAGCACCCCATACAGCTAGCACTACAGTGACAGAAACACTCTTCCACTTAACCTTATAGCAGGGGAGGAATAGTGGCCACCTCTGCAACCAACCATCTCCCCCTGCAGCCTCTGCTTTCCCATTCCTCTCCCCCACAACACAGCCTCTGCTCCCCAACCTGCATTTCTCCCTCTCCTTGTACCCCTGCTCCACATTGGCAGGCTCCATCCACACTAACAGGAGTGTGCAGCCCACACAGAAGCTACTGGGGCTGAGCTGGCAGAGGATGGAGCCTGCCAGTAGAAAGCAAAGTCAAGGGAAGGCAAAGAAGCTTGACAAGGAGAGGAGCAGAGGCTAGAAGAGGGGGGACGGGAAGGAAGAGGGGCAGGAGAGGGAACAGAGGCTGAGGAAGGGGGGCCCAAGACTGCTTGGGGGTGTAGATAGGGGCAGAGGTAGCAGGTCAGCAGACCTCCCACCCCTCACCCTGGAGCACATTTATTCAGCAGAACAAGCAGTTTTCACTTTTTACACTCACTGCTGAAGAATGATACAATCCCTCTGCCAATACACACTGAATAAACTCTACTGAAAGACAGAATCATAGAAAGTTAGGGTTGGAAGGAACCTTAGGAGGTCATCTAGTCCAACCCCCTGCTCAAAGCAGGACCATCCCCAACTAGATCATCCCAGCCAAAGCTTTGTCTAGCTGGGTTTTAAAAACATCCAAGGATGGAGCTTTTACCACCTCTCTGGGTAACCTGTTCCAGTGTTTTACTGCCCTCCTAGTAAGAATTTTTTTCCTAATATCTAAACTAAACTTCCCTTGCTGCAACTTGAGATCATTGCTCTTTGTTCTGTCATCTGCCACCACTAAGAACAGTCTAGCTCCATCCTCTTTCAAACCTCAGTTCAGGTTGTTGAAGGCTGCTATTAATTTGATATATAATATCTTCTATTATTATGTATCTTGTTAATATATTAATATTATTATATAATATTATATTAATATATAATAGCACATTATATCTAATATATATTTATATCTAATATAATGCTGAACAGTCTAGCTCCATCCTGTTTCGAACCCCCCTTCAGGCAGTTAAAGGCGGCTATTAATAACATATTAGATATATAAGAAGAGATTACAAAATAGGCTATCATGCTCTTTACTAAGAAGGTTAATACTAGAAGGAGTGTTTTGGAAGCTACAGGCACTGGTGAAGAGGATGCCAATTTCATTATAGCATTGACAGAGCTGATGTGAGTACCAGTCTTGTAGAGCTGGTGCCTCAGTCAGCCAAAAGTTTTTCTTCAGGGCATAGAGAAACATAACCATTAGTTACAGAATGGCTTAAATCCAGTTTAAACCAGAAGCAGACAGAAATACAAGTCTATTAAACTGGCTTAAATCTACTCAGAAGAGTTCAAAAGTGTACCTCGCAAATCAAGTACTATTTTGAACCACTTCAATGTGCACTGGTCCAGTGTTATGTGTAGACATTAAGCATTCTGTGACATAGGGTTGGCCAGTCTTCCAGGCATCCCACACTGCACTACTCCTCACCACTACCACCAAACATAAACACTGCTACAACTGGCTGCTCTAGTATGTAGCCAGAACTCTATTATCCCCTTTTCCCCCTTTTGTTAGCACTTCTTATCAATGAGCTCCCATTGCACTGATTTTCAGTAAAAGCTATCTTTCTAATAAGCAGCTGTGTTCTCACTTCCTACTCAACCTCAGCCCCTCATCATGCCTTCTGAGCCCCTGGGAACCAAAAAAGTATGAATCTAAGCACCTTCCCCCAAGTCAGGAAAGCACACTGCAGATTTTAGTCATCTGCAGGTTATTAAAGTATGCTGAACTCATATTCAAGAGATGAGGGAAAGCAGAACAGTGACGTTGTCCCCAGTCACAGGCTGCTCACCCCCTGGGACTCCTAAACATGGGTGCAAGTACTTTCCCTTACCCCCTGTTGTCCACTGCTGGGCTGGATGCACATTCACACCTTCTGGTGTCAGAGCCACAGCACTTCAAACAAACAGGAACCAGTTTCCAATCAGTGATATTTTGGAATGGTTTAATTGTTGGTAACTGGACTCCAACGTGTCAGAAGGACCTAGTCTAGGTCTTGGACAATGTCTTAAGAAGGCAGAATGAGGTTTCTTTTTGCTAGGTCCCTTTAGAATAGCTGTCTTATTTTCTCCCCTTCTCCCCTTCTCAACACATTCATTAATCAAATTATAACATAATCAACATAGTTGTCTTTATTGAAACTGAGGCAAAGTATTAATATAATTTGAGACATGATACATTTTATCATCTTTAACCCCATCCTCATTGCACAGAAAGCATTATTTCCTTGTTCTCTTATAAACTAAATTCTCCATCTATTTAATTAATTTTATTTAGTTTATTTTAATTTCCTGTGCAAGGTTTAACTCAGACTAACTTTTGCCAATTCTTACTTTATCCCTAAATCTCTATTTGCTATCAGTCTGTACTTCTAATCTTTACAGGGTCTCTGCTCATTTCTAACAAATTGCTTGAGATGATTATTCATCCAGTGTAATCTGGAGCCCCTTCTGGTGTATTTCCCTTTCTTGGAACATACATTCCTGACAGTTTTAACAACCTTAAAGAAAATTTAGGATGCTTCCACATTCAAGTCCTTGAGTTTTTCAGTACAGGTGGTCTAACTAGTTTTCTCTCTCAAGGTTTGCCCTCTTGAAATTGAAAACTAATGTTATTTTTTTTCTTTATCCTTCCATTCAATTTAAACTCCAGAGATTTCTGATGATTTGCTCCGTGGGATATTTTGTGTGTTCCGCTTTTTTCTTTTTTTTAATTTTAAACAGACTGCTTTTCTTATTACTTACCACAATGCAGCCTAAAATAGAATTGCCTTTTCTTGGACTATTTGATGAAGAAATCTGTCAGCTATCATATCTAAAAATATCCGAGTCCTACCAATACCAGTAGTGTTCATTCTTCTGTCTATATCTTGGAAGTTAAAATCTCCTGGACATAATTCCTAATAGTATTTCTCTGTATTAATTTTAAAATATGTGAATGTACTGTCCACAGTGACTTGCTGGCCAAAGGAATCAAAGAAGAATAAACAATACTAGTAACAACACAGAACCATAATTACGCACTGCAATTTAGAGACAAGGTCTTTGTTCTGAAGAATTAATAGCCAAACTTTAAGACAAAATACATGAAAGAATTACTATTCATCATGCAGAAAATGAGACTAACATGCTTTTAAACAGCAGCAAAATAATGAGCTGATTGTCAAATCCTTAATGAGATTTATTACATGAATATGGGCCAATTCTTTCTGTGTAAAAAGCCATTCTTGTGTTTTTATTATTTATTTACTTTTATTTAAAGCAATAAGAGAGACCCAACATGTGACAAGCTAAGTAGGAAATCTCTGTGGGTTTCAGATTAGATGACAAGTCTGTATGACTTTACAATAGATTTTGTAAAGACTTGAAACTAAACTCTACTGGCATTTACATCACTGAAAATGCTGAGCAACCATGCTGACGTCACTGGAGTTAACAATGAGTCATGTGACTAGGAGCAAACTTTAACCCTAATAGGTATTGTTCTGTTATTTTAGATGATACATTTGCAAGTATTTACAGTGGAGGCTGGTTAACATGTGAAAGTGAATAAATCTAGCTGACTGTGAAAGGTTGGTTCAAGCCTAATTTACAACAGATGCTAATGAACTTCATCATGCTCATCTTGTAGGCCCTGAGAAACTTCAGTTGATTATACATCTACATCTAGCTTATGAAAGAACACAGAAACCCTTCCATTCCACTTGTGGCACTAATATCTTTAAAAATATAAAATTTTAAAATTGGAGGGTCAGCTTTTACTGTGCATGTGCACTCGCGTGCACACAAAAGCCAATGCACACAGTATTTGCTTTCTAAATAATTGTTGCAGTTTAACATAAGGTTCCTAAACCATATACTTTAAAGATGGATATCAACTTCAGCTGCCTTAGGTTGTTCTACTAAAACTGAGAAAAATTAAAACCCTCTTTTGCAGAATCTCTCTCTAACCATTCTTTGCAGCTCCAGAGGTATTTGGCAGTAGAAGAATCCTTCATCTCATCAGAGTCCAAATAGCAGCTGGATCCTCAGTTTGCTCCACTCAACTGAATAAACAACTTGCATCTAAAGCACCACAAGTACACCAATACTGAGGCCAGAGCTCCCTACCAATGCAGCTTCTGCTGCAGAAAAGCATGCTCCTCCATCTGTCTGGAGGTCCTATTTTTTTGCTACAGGGCAAGAGAAATGACTCAGCTTCTTATGATTAACGGCAAGCTTCCAAGAACCAGAGAAAGATTGAGTCAAATTGCAAAACTTAGGACACTACTAGAATTGTTTCTTCTCACTCTCTACTTCAGAAGAATAATGTAGCATGAAGAGAGAATTCAGAAGTCACAAAAGTGAGCTTTCTGGGACAGACAGCTTTTGGAAAGCTCTTCTACTTGACTCTCTTGCTGTGAAGAGGCACTGGCTGAAAGTGGGACACTGGCAGCAGGAAATGAGAGCAGGAGAGAGCAAAAAGCTGTGAAAGGGGAACAATGCTTCCACAGCTGCTGCTCCTTTACGTTTGGGGAAATCCTGAGAAGGGTGGGGTGGGGCACAAAACAAAAAGCCGGGATAGGAGAAAAAAGAATAAGAGGCTGCTGATGGGGAGAGAACCCCAAAGACCCGTCTAGACAGAAGGGAAAGACTAAACCGGGTCTACTTAAATTCAAGAGTTGACGGAGGAGGAAGTTCATCTCCAAAGAAAAAAACAGAGAGGCTGCCATGGGATGGGGTCCCCAGGGATAGCCATGATGCCCCTAGGGCTCTGTGACCATGCCAATCCTGCCCAACAGGCACCCGTTTCCTCACCTGCCATGTCTTGCTGGTAATTATAATAAATAGGGAGGCTGCCCTCGAGTTTGTGTTTGGACATGGCCCTGATGGACCCCACTGAACCCTGTGGGTTCTTGGACCCCTTCTGGGTCCTGCTCAAAATGGTTGCCTCACGGAACACCCTCAGCCTTATGGGCTAGATGCGTGGCTCCAAAATCACCCTTTACCATGCCCCAAGCCTCGCAGATGGTATTTAAACATTGCCTCTCTGGGGCCTTGGTATAGCTCAGCCTCCTGTTATCGCCAGGCTCTCCGCAACCCTGTCTCTGTGCCCACACTGGTGCTGGGCACTCTGCAGCCCCTTTGTCACTGTGCCCCCTGGCTCTGGGGTCTGCTCACCCCCTTTGTCACTGCGCCCCTTGGCACTGGGGTCCCCACACTGTAGTGGGCCCTAATGAGGCCTCCTCTTCCCCCAATAGCCTCAGTCCGGTCCACCAGTTTTATAAAACAGCAACCAAAATATGAACCCCTGGGCTATAACATAATACAAACAGTTCAGTGTGTGCTCTGTCACTTTAAAAACTTCCCCCCCAGCACTAAGTGCCTTGTAGGCCAGGTTACCTAGTGAGCTCCTGGAGCCCCATTAGTCCTATATGTAGCATATCAGGCAGCTACAGTGTCTCTGGGTAATTCTTCCCTGGAACCTCCCTCCCCTGGCTGCTGCCAGAGAACTAACTCCTGCTGGTCTCAGCCCTGGGGTTTATATGCGCCTGGGGGACTGCCTTCTTCTGGTCAGCTGATCAGGCGCAGGCTAATTCCCTTGTTAGCCTGCTGCCATAGTAACCTGCACCTGTGGGGTTTCTGTCTGGCTCTTAAGGCTCTCTCCCTAGGCAGTTCCTGCTCTTAAAGATGCAGGCACCTTAGCGCCCTGTGACAGAGGCTCCAAATGGTGGAGTGATGTCTGAAGAGGTAGCGGTGAGAAAAGAAGAACAGCTACCTGACAGGTCAAAACTTGTGTGTTTCTGATTTCTTTTACTGTATTTGGACACTTTGTAGAGTCAATCAGACTTAAGATGATTTCAGGGGAGAGAGAGCCAGAGGGATGGCGACTCTCTCAACCTTAAGCTGACAGGAGCACGTGGAGAGACACAGCAAGGTAAGATCTCTACTGGAGAAAGCGCATTAAAAATATTTTTTTTCAGTTCATTGTTCAGTCCAACTGTTTAGCCTTAATTAACCCTAACTGTATATTGTATGAGGGTGGAGCTAGTAATCCGAAGAGTTCTCGATTATAAAAGTGAAGACGTACCTGAGAAGCATTTAATAACCACAGCCTGTTTAGCTGTGAGTTGGTCATAGCTGTAAAAATAAATGACAAATAAAAAATAAATGGTGATTAACCCAAACAAGCTTGTGAGTCAATCGATGACTTATGTTTGGGCATCATCTAGAGGAACTTCCAGAGACCCCATAAATTTTCACGTAGATTGCTGTTACCTGACTGTGGTAAAAAAAAAAAGAAGCATAACACTTCCCGAATAATAACATCAAGAAATAAACAAGACATGGCAGGCAAGAGTAGGACTATACCACTGGGACATAAATATAGGCAGTCTCAGAAAAGAGGTCTAGAGCTCGAACATAAGCTGAACTACCACACATGCATATACTCTTCTTCATATAAGCAGCCAGAACTCAGCAGAACCAATATCAAACATTTAAGACATGTGTGTTGTAGAGTTTGTAAAGGGCTGTCACTTCACTCACTAAACATCTTTATTTTCCCTAGGGCAAAATTGCCCCCACAGGAAACAACATAAACAATAAAACAAGTGCACAAACAACAAATAGTTATGTAACACCCACACAAAGACTGGGTTGTGTATTGTTCAGTAGGCAGAAGGGTTACAGTTAAATCAAAACCAGCAGTCCTTCCTCAGACCCTGAGAAGGCAACCCCAGCTCTATGCTGCCTCCTTAGCACCACAGCCTTCCTTCTCTCTTCCTCATCTACCCTCCTTGGGAGCTTTTAACTTTCCTTAGAGCCAGTCCATCATCCCTGTTATCTGGCCCTGTGCTCCTAGGATTATCCTTTAACCACCTTCAACTGGGCTCCCACCTCAGAATCATGCACATCATTACACATCCCCCCTCCCAAAAGTGGAGCCCAGGGTACACTCTTCCAATTTTTTAATTCCACTTATTCCATGCCACTCACCCCTCCCCTCCCACCACTTCAAAAGTCTGCATTTGTATGTGCAGATCCAGAGCACTGCTGTATTGAGAAGGCAAAGGGCTGTAGGGACAGGTACCACCTCATCAACCGGGGTTGGCCTCCTACGTACCATTAAGCCATGTTAGCAGGGCATGGTCAGTGATCAAATCTAAATGGGCCCCTAGGACATAGTAGCAGAGGATCTTAACTGCTCACTTAATCACTAGACACTCCGGGCACTTTTACATGTGCTCTGGGGGCTTGAAGGAGAGGGGCACAGAACTTTAATTAGATTGTCTCCAAGAGCCACTCTAATTAAAGTGCTGCTGCATCTCCTGTATCAGCATCCTGGCACTTAAAAATAGTGGCAGAGGGGCCTGAACTGAAGCTCTGCAGCCTTCCCTCTCTCTCCCTCAGCTACTCTCCCTGGGAGCTTTTAACTTCCCCTAGGGCCAATCAATCATTTCTGTCAGCTGACTCTGTGCTAGGCAGGTAAGCTATTACCCTTTAACCCCCTGCATCTGGGCTCCAGCCCCTGAACCATGTACCTCATTACAGAGTTGTTTGATGGAGTCCTCAGTGCAAGACACTTCAGTGATGAGGTCTCCTATGAGATTTAACAACAGAATCCAGGTTTCTACCAAAGCAGATACTGCTGATGCCAATGTGTTAACCAAACCTGATGTGATGATTAAAATTACTGCTTCTAAGTAGAAATGCAGGTGGCAGACAGAAGCCTTGGTAGCAGTAGCTTCAAAGTCTCAAACATTTTTCTGACTGATTAATATGGAGAATATGGGGGAAAATGATATTACTCCTGTCTTTGGAATGATATTGCAGCAGTAGATATGACATTTGATGGGTTGTACAATTTGTACTTTTAAGGAATTGAATTCTGTTCCATTTTCAATATCGCTTTTTTTTGTACGTGAGACAGATCATTCTTTCCGGATGGGATCTGTAGTTTGTGAAATGACAGGTCTTTAGGAAAACAAAATAAAGTTAATATATGGCTTCCTGTTTCAGTACTATACCAACAAATGAAAAGTTATTTGGAATTTCTCTCCTTAAAAAAGCACTTTAATGATACAAGCTGAAATAAGCCTATTGTTAAAATGCAATTCACCGAATAAAGTATGATGCCAGCATTTAACTTTAAAATCTTCTCATGGTGATTCATAATTGTCTACTTTGTTATGTATTAATCTTAGATTATTTCCTATATTAGATTAAATAAAGACTTGCTACTATGTTTTTTAAGTATCAGTTACTGTTATCCAGTATACATTACTGAATTATTGTCATATAATCCTCCTAATGGGCTTCTTTTTTTAATCCAATACTCATAGCTGCTGAATGAAGAAAAAAAAATACACTACTCCTATTTTTCTTTATATGTACCTTCTCAAATCATTTAACCTGTTTCTGGATTGATCCAAATGTGGCATAATAGAAATTATTCACAAAAGTATTCATAAAACCTGCTTTTAAAATTGTGGATATGCTATGATCATCACCCTATCAGTTCTGCCATTACTCCTTATGTTAGAAGGACATCCCAGAGCTTCATTGCCCTGATGGTAAGGAAACGGAGGGTGGAAAAGAGAAAGAAAGAACTAAATGTTACACTTTTTAGCATGTTTCTTGGTGTACTTCTGGAAGGCATTCATATTACACTGATGATGTCCTTAAGAACCAGGAGAAGGACAGATTTGTCAGCTGTTTTAGGGTCTTGAGGGGACTGAAGAGAAGGAAACATTGCCCCCCAAAGATTTGCAGGAATAGTCTGTTAACAATGAAATAAGAGATAACACATTAACTGTGACCATATAAAGAAACAGATTGATTTTAAGATTGTAGACTTTGCCATTTAAGAAAGATTCCTCATCTTTCTTTTTGCCTGGAAACACAATGAATATGTTTGATAACGTATTAAATAAAATTATCCTTACTTTGCAAAAACAAAGAACAATAACTTTCAATATAGTGCTTGTTGTATGATCAATAGACCATCACAACAGATTTTCTTAACGCTGGAATTGTAGAGCAAAACCTTTATTGCATTTTTCATTGTCACGTCAGAAATTACAGCAAATTGGTAGTGCCATATATTGTGAGGCTTAGATCTGAACGGGGCATGTTCGTTTAGGTCAGCAGCCAAAGGGTACATACAAGTATTACATTTAGCTCACCCTAAGGTTAGGGTGATCTGAATGCCTAGATCTATAAGTGCCCTAAAAATGGTGTGCCTGATCTAATGTTGGTTCTTGTCAGACAAGAACTAACTGTAGATCAGCATGGGGTTAACCTAACCTAGCAAGGGCTAACCCAGCCTAGTGTAAGTGTGCACACATTCACAACACAGCTCTGGGGCTGGGGAGCCCCAGCCACACTACAGCCTCAGGGCTGTGATGTTTTTATGCACCCTCC